CCAGCCCTTAAAATTCCCAGTCTGGTTGCATTTGTGGAAAGCTGGCACTTTAGAGGTTAACCTTGTGTGATCTTCCTCCCAACAAGCTGTCTCCAAACCCCTCTCTCCCTGCCTTGGGTTAAATGTCCCTCCCAAACTTAATTCCCACTGTAAGGGTGGAAATCCTATCATGATAACTGAAAGGTGGGGCCTTGAAGAGGTGATTAGATTGTAGGACCATGCAGTAGTGAATGGATTAATAATGGTGGTCATAGGCATGGTTCTGAGGGCTTTAAAAGGAGAGCACACGAGAGGTTAGTCTCTCTCTGCTCTGCCATTTTCTGCCATGTGAGACTCTTGGGTCACTGTCACCACCACCAAGACCCTCACCAGATGTGTTCCCTGGACTTTGGACTTCCCAGCCTCCAAAACTGTAAGCAATAAGTTTTGTTTTCTTTATAAATCACCCAGTTCCATATATTTTGCTATAAGCAACAGAAATGGACTAATACACCCCCTATTTTTTAAAGTGTTAAATGCTCATTTGCTGGCAGTTTGCTCTGCAGGATCTGGGTGAGGCAAATGTCTATTAAAACCCAAGGAAATGATGTACCCTTGGGAACCGAAAATCACTATCTCCCAGGTCAGGGGGAGGGTGGTATTTGTTAACTTAATCAGAGGGAAGGGGCTTACAAGGTGGTATCTGACGGGGGAGGGGGATGGCTCCTCTGGGGCCCTAGCTGGGAGGCCCACTCATCACCAACCCCCCTTCCCTCCTCTTCCCTTGTCCCCAGGCCTGTGGCTCCATGTCTTTGTTTCCCTCTGTCCCCTGGCTTTCCAAGCCTGGCCTCCTGCCTGCTCCTCTTTAGTGCCCCCTCTCCTGTTTCGTGCCACCTTTCCTTCTCTGTGCTTCTCTACTTCCCTGCCATTGTCCCCCTTGTGGGAGGGGGACCCTCAATGAGCTGACAGACCATGTGGCACAGGGGAGAGAGCCCTTCCGGTGGTCAGGACTCCAGTTAACAGTCCCCATGACCCAGGATAAGTCACCAACCACTCTGCACCTCCATTTGAGCAAAGAAGTTACAGCAAGTTACTTTATTTTTTTTTAAAAAAGCCGCTTCAGTGAGCTACACTGGCACTAACAACTCTAAGCCCCTGCACATAAACTGCACATATTTAAAGTATACAATTTGATTAGTTTTGACAAATACATACACCTATGGAACCACCACTACCATCAAAATGATAAACATATCCATCACCCCCAAAACTCTCCTGGTGCCCCTTGGTAATCCCTCCTGCCCCTCCCAAGTCCACCCTCTGCCCCTGCCTCCCTCCCCTTGCCAGGCAACCTCTGATCTGCTTTCTGACACTATAGCTTACTTTACATGTTGTAGAATATTTATATGAGTGGAATTATACAGTATGTGCTCTTTTCGGTCTGACTTCTTTTACTGAACATAATTAATTTTGAGATTCATCGGTGTTGCATTATGTTCACTCCTTTTTTTGCTGAATAGTATTCCATTGTACGATATACCACAGTTTCTTTGTCCATTCCCCTGTGGATGGACATTTGGGCTGTTTCTGGTTTGGGTCTGTGACAAAGCTGCTGTGAACATTCATGTACATGTCTTTATGTGGACACGCAAAGCAGATGACTTCTTAAGATGCTCCTCTCACTTTCCCAGCTGAGCAGCTGCCAAGGCCAGATCCATTCTTTTCCTGCATTGTAATTCAACATGCAATGAAACCAGCCATCAGCTGGCTTCAGTTTGAACCCTGCTCCACCATTTGCAGTGTGATCTTGCACAACTCTGGGTGCCCTGGTTTGTTTTATGGGGGTGATAGTTGTTCCTACCTCCTACGGTGGCTGCAAGCATTACATTATAGTATGGGTCTGAAGCATTTAGCACAGTGCCCGGCACAGTGTTCAGAAATGGTAGCTGTTATTATCTTGCATATGCCTCTGAGGAGATCGAAACAACGCAGAATGGCCTTCCTCTGGGATCTCTGAGCAGTTACCCTAACTCTTTGTAGTGGCTCCATTCACAGGGGAGTAACTGAGTCGCAAAGGAAAGAGTGACTTGAATAGGGTCAGTCTTTGAACTGGGGGTTAATGCAGTTGTGTCCTGATACCCAATGCGGTGACTATTTCCCAGTCAGTTGACAGGCAGTGGCAGAGAAAGGCCCTTGGAGTTTTCCAGTTACTACTCAGGGTGGCTTCTGAAGACCCCTAAGGTGCAGCTTAGCACAGCTGACCAGGAGACTCAGAGCTCCTAAAGGGTTAATACAAGTCCCCAGGACTCAGCAACTTGGAAACTTGGCAAAATCTTAGTTAAATCATGAGGGAAAGAGATTGGGGGGCGGGGGTGGTAGAGAGGCCCCTTGCCCTCTGCCACCTGCCCTACAGGGCTCCAACTAGCCCATGAGATCAGAACCCAAAAGGGGCTTCTGTGTGTCTCAGGTAGGCAGGTAGAGTCCTGGAAGCACTTGGGCCCTTTGGCACCAAAAGGGGGGGGTAACCCACAAACTGTTTTTCTATTCTCTCACACCACAACAATCAACACAGAAGACCAAAGATGTGGGGATTTCTCCCCACCAGCAAGGAAGCAATCAATTCTGTGGTGGACACCAGCTGGATGTCCTCCGATTCAAGGCAATCCCAACACCATCTACCTGAGGGTGGTGTCAGATTCCATGGATCGAGGGCTTAGTCACCAAAATTGCCTCCCACTTCTGATAACAATCACAAGCCCCAGGTTAGTTTACCTGTGCTTCTGACCAACTGGCTACAAATTGGAGTCCCCACAACCCCCTCCTCAGGTTCGATGCACCAAACTCAGGGAAACACTTACTTAGGTTTACCAGTTTATTATAAAGGATATTACAAAGGATACAAATAGAGACATGCATAGGGTGAGGTATGGGAGAAGGGTGCGGAGCTTCCATGCCCTCCCCGGGCGCACCACCCTCAGGAACCTGCATGTGTTCAGCTCTCTGGAAGCTCCCCCAACCCTGTGCTCTTGGAGGCTTCATTTTTATGGAGGTTTCATGACATAGGCATGACTGAAGCATGGACAGCCGTGTAGAAATGTGACACTAGCAGAGTGAGCAGGGAAGCCCAGCAAGGCCCATTGGTTCAGATTCTTCTTGGCCTCTCTGCAGCATTCCTTCCTTCGGGAATGTGGTGGGACCCCTTCTGGAATGGGGATCTTATGACCTACACCCATACAGAGTAGGTCAGAGAATTTCTTTATGGTCAGCTCCAAGACAGAAAGGTGGGGAAAAGTTAGAACAAGCCAGCAACCATGGACAAAAACCAAAATTTACATATACACAGGCATCGTTACAGATCAGGGCTTCAAATTCTGTTTCTGCCCCCTACTAGCTGTATCAGAGTAGGCTAGACTATTCCATGGGCACATACAACCCATAAGTTCAGTGGATTAACACAATAAAAGTTTATTTTTCATTTACAAGCTATGAACAGCATAGGTGTAAGGGTGCCAGTGGCTCTTAAAGCTTCCACCCGCCATAAGTTCAGTGGATTAACACAATAAAAGTTTATTTTTCATTTACAAGCTATGAACAGCAGAGGTGTAAGGGTGTCAGTGGCTCTTAAAGCTTCCACCCAGAGGTAACACATCTCAGTTCTGCCACATTGCATTGGTTAAAGTAAGTCGCCTGGCCACAGCTAACATCAAAGAGTGAGGACATGCAGCTCTATCGTGTGCCAGAAGGCAGAGAGCCAGAAATAACTGCTAAACAGCACTGATGACTACTACACTAGCAAGGTGAAATTTGAGCCTGATTCCTCTTCTGCAAAATGGGATGATAAAGTATTTACCTCATAGATTGTTGTGAAAATTCAATGAGAAAACTTCTGTAACACTCTTGGCACAGTGTGGCACATGGGGTGAATACAATAAAATTTAGATCCCCTTCTAGGTAAGCCCGGTAAAGCTGAGGCCAGGGGTATGTGTGTACAACAGATCTCCAGCATGCCAAGGCTCCCTCCTGCAACTGCAAACACTTGCCCTGGTTCTGCAGGCCCCCTCTGATTGGTCAGCAGAAGATGGATAACTTTCTACAAAATCTGCCTTCTCCCACCCGCTGGATCTGACACTGACTGCTTGGGCCAGGCAAACCTCATTACCATATCTCCCTTTCCCCCAGCCTCATTCATCCTTCTCTGAAACCTCCTATCCCTCCTGGGTCTTCTTTATCATAATCCACCCTTCTGTCCAAGCAGAGGATAGAAGCCCATTGAAGAAGGGATAGAGAATCCAAGAGAAATGCAAAGGAAATTAACATCTACTTTGTGCTGAGCACTGTGCAGGATACTTGGCCCAGGTTACCTCATTTCCACCTCACAATTCCTCTGTGATGAGGTGAGTGTGATAACCCTCATTTTGAGATGTGGGAGCTCATGCGTAGAGGGGTACATAACAGGCCCAGGCTTGCAGAGCTAGTAAGTGGCAGGGCTGGGATTTGAACCCAGATCTCTGTGACTCAGAAGAACACCTAACCTAACCTCAGAAGTTAGGTTTCATTCAGACCTAACTTATCCCCCCTTTTTTCAGGGGGGAGAAAGGGCAGCTAGCTGGTATAGGGACCAAACCCTGAACCTTGGTGTTATCAGGACCATTCTCTAACCACCTGAACTGACCAGCCCCGTCAGATCTAACTTTCATCCAGACTGTAAACTCACCTACAGCCCAATCTCAAATGTTTAGCCTATTGTGCTATGCAGAAACTGCCCTGTTATGGGAGAATAGGGACCATGCTTTTAGTCACTGCTCAGCCCGTTCCTTACTATGCAACTTTGGACAGGTCCCTTTACCTCTCTGGGTCTCAGGGACTGGACTAGACGATCATAGGGTTCTTCCCAAGTCTAGGATTCAGTAACATTGAGACTTGCTCACACCTCCTGCCTTTTTGTTGGAAAGCACTGCAAAGAAGAAGGGTGGATAAAGATCCCATGTTTGAGGTTATACAGAGCATTAATTAAACCCTCATTATCATTCGAAACTGAAAATAGTTTTATTTATTAAGACCGATGGGGTGTTTGTAATCCACAGCAATTCTCTCCCTTCTTTGCTATTTATAACAAACTCTCGTTTCCTCCATGGCTAAGTCTGTCTTCTCCTATAACAGAGGAAGTCAGGCTGAGCTCATGCCTGAGCTTAGATCTCCTGAGTCTGTAACCCAGTGGACCCTCTCTGGGATTCTGAGCTCCCGTTGGTGGGTGGAACTGGGCTCTGTCTCCAAGCCAGCATTAGAGAGTGTGGCTGGGCCATCCGCCAGCAGGATGGGTTAATAATGCCTCTTCTCCCACGGAACCAAGCACAGCTGCTGGGGTGGTGCTGGGGGTTAGCACTGGAGGTCCAGAACTTTGTATCTTCCACCCCCAGAACTTTAGGTCAATGTTCAGATAGTCTTTGCAAATGCCAATGCCTGTGATAAAAAGGAATAAGAGGAAGATAAAAAAGGAATAAGACTCAAGCTCAGGTCACCTTTGGAGACATTTCTACAGCCTACAGGTATCTCTTAGGTATTTTGATTTGTTCTTGTAGGGTTGCTGTTGAAAGCAGTGCCTGAGAGATCTGGGCCAGATGGCTGCCCCAAGTGGCTGCTGAAGTATGTTAACTACAGTAGAGTGGGAGCTTCCTGCCTCCGAGAGGGCCCCCCCACACCTCCCCCAGGTTCCCATCTGCCCAGACGCCCACAGCTCCTGTCAGAAGAAATGATAGAGGCCCCGCGATGCCTGGGGGAAGGGACTCAGCTCAGGAGAAGAGCTGGGGCTAACCCCAGTCCAATTAGGGGGCTCAGGGCCAACTCAGGGTTGTGCGTGTGTGTGTGTGTTTGCCTGTTCTATCAGGCAAAGAGGAACGCATTGGGGGTGGGGTAAGATATGCATATAGAAAGCTGATCTTGAGAAACTTCACGGTTTGGGAAGGAGGGAGGGAAAGAAGAGCAGCTGGGAGGACATAGAGGGGGTGGGAGAGAGGGGGATGGCGAGAGGGGGAACAAACCATAGAGAGGAAGCGGTGACTGTGTTGAAGCTGGACAGAGAATGAAAAGGCTTCCTCTGACCTTCTAACCCAAATCTCCCCAAGCTGTGGTTTAAGCCTCTGTTCTACCTTGGATCCCTGTCTGGCCTCTGTCCAGATACCCCTTCACCTGTGCGCAGCAGAGCCCAGGAGTCAGGATCTAGACATTGGGCTGCCCTGCTGCTCCCTGGTGGCCCAGGAGGGATCTACTGAGTTGGCTGGAGCGGCTGAAGTCCTGAGTCACTGACCTCTAGGAAGCCTGAATTTGCAGCCCATGTTTCTCCCTGCTTGATTCCCTTGGCTCATCACCGTTGGCCTGAAGGGATGCTGAGGGGGTGGGCAGAGGCTCTGGCGACACTTCCCAGCAGTGGAACTGTGAGTCAGAAGGGTCACCTACTGTCGGAAGTCAGAGAAGACCTCCTGTAGGCAGGAAACCAGAGTTGGACCGACTGCAGAGAAGTCCAGAGCTGGCTGGGCGGGAAATGTAGCATTGCAAAATGTAGCATTATCATCCGGGAGGGCTAAACCTGGAGCTTGCTGTGCCTGAAGAAAAAGACGGGGCCAGCCCAGTTCCCTTCCCTCTGGACACTTGCTTGGAGATGATCTGGGGAATCTGCAACCAGATGCATGAGTTCAAAGCCTGAGTCTGTTGCTTATATGCTGGTGAGACTTAGTTTCTCCATCTACAAAATCGAAATAGAATAATAAAGCCTAGCTCACAAGGTTATGAGGATTAAATGAGAACATGCACATAAAATACCTTGTTCGTGTAGGTGCTCTACACGTGGTCAGTCTCCTCACTATTTGCTTGGAACGTAGGTAGGGAATGTTCAGGACCTGACTCCTCAACATCCTGCTGGCCTTGCTCTGGGAGAGGTGATCCACTGACTCCAGGGAGAGCTTCCTCTGGGTTCAAATGCTAGTAACAGGTGCAGGATCCCACCAGGATCCCTCCCCACCCCCCACACACACCCTGGGGACACTTCTGGTGGTGCTCCTCCTGTTTGCCATTAGAATGGGGAAGGTGTGTTAATTTGCCCTTGAAATTATCTTTGTTTTTGTTTTAACCGTAAAAATGTGGATCTGGGCTACTGGATGGAACAGTTATCCATGGAGGGGGATGGGGGAGGGAAGGGGAGGAAGATGGCACCAGCAGATGCATCTGCAGACTCTAACCCATGCCCTTGCCAAAATCTCTGACACGGTTTCATCATGTGAGGGTGATGCAAGAGGCTTGGAGTCAGACTCCCCTTCCTCCCCCCGCCCCCCCCCCCCAGAGATCTCCATCCACATCTGGAGCTACAGCTGGGTTCTCCTCTTGGGCTCTTTCCAGGTAAAGGAGCTGGGTGAAGGGAGGGAAGGCAGGGAAGCTGGCGAAGGGCCCCGTGAATGGCCCCAGTGTTGGGAGTTGGGGGGCAGGAAGGAGGGGTTTGGGCTCAGAGGGAGGGGAGATCCCTTTCAAATTCATGTTGTTTTCTCAGCCACCACGGCTGCAGGAGATCATGGCTAGGGGCAGGAGATCATGGCTAGGGGCAAGACTAGAAAGGGAATTATGACTTCGCAGCACTGGCCTCCTCCTCCATCACTGCTCCCCCTTGTCCTTTATATCCATTCCTGCAGGCAGCTGCCCTCCTCCTTCTTCCCTTCCCCGCCCACTTCACCGTCCAGCCTCTCTACCCAGGTGCCTGCAGTTGAGTGTCCCCTTTGTTCCCTCCTCTCCCCGGGGCAGCTCAGGCCTCCCACACTGACCCTCTGCCCCCACTGCCACAACAAGCAGTGTAGCCAGGCCCAGTGGGGTCATCTGTAGGTCATAAAGGTCAACGGGACCTTAGTCTAGCAGTAAGGAGGAGCCAGTCTGGGCTAGCAACCCGGCCAGGAATCAACCAAATGATGAGCTTTAAAATGCTGCAGGGTGGAGGTGGGGGGAATTTTAGTTACACACTAGCAAGAACCCCCTTCAGTAAAGGCTGGCGAATTTACTGGAATAAATGCAGAAGGGAAGCTTTCCTGGCTCTTTCAAGCTATAAAACCGCTAATCGCTGTGGGATGCTTTGAAGTGCAGTGCTCTGCCCCGGAGACCAAGGTTCTTACCCACGCTTAGCCACTAACTGGCTGTGTGACCTTGGGTGGTTCCCCTCTCTGCATCTGAGTTTCCTCATTTATGAAACAAGGGTCCCACGGAGGCTGAAGTTCTGTGACCCCAGGGACTGAGGCTCCGGCGCGGTCACCTTCTGCACCAGTCTTCCAATCCCGAACTCCCCCCGGCAACCCAGTGGACGCGAGCCAAGAGGTCCCTTTAAAGGGGCAAGCCCCGCCCCTGCTGTTCGTTCGGGCCTTCGATTGGTGGCTCCGGGGAGGGG